GATACGGTCCCCGCCCAACAGGTTATGCGTGCGCATTGTAAATATTGCAATGCATTTGCAATGGCGCGTAGTGTCATTTATGATGCACAAGAGAATTGTCAATGATGAAGCTTTAGGAGAGGTTTTATATGCACTGATTAAATAATTAGAAAATGGGACTGGGTGGGATTACATTAAATGAAATTTTTCACGTTAAGTGAAACCGCCGCCCACGGACACTCACATTGCCAGAAAGCACGCTAGTGCGTTGCCGGCCTTTCAAGAATTGGAACGCTCTTTTCTTGAATTACCCTAAGTCGAATTCGTTCGGAAATACTTCAGTGGGCAGCTGGTTCCATAGCGGTGGTGCATAATGGTAATGTTTCAAAAAATCGATATAAGTATATTTGTTTAAATTATTTCTTCTAACAAAGGTATCGAATTCGATCCTTACAATTCAAAACTTCTTACATTTTTATTTTGAACCGCAAAAAGAGGAAGTACCTAAATTTTTTTATCTTATGGATTAGTGGGTATGCATGCGGTGGTGTATAAGCCGGATCCTTTGATCTCATCTTATGGAACACTAATCATTGTTTCGGGTTGGTAGGCTCAGCAAGCTCACGAAACGTTTAACAAACATAGGTCGAAAATTGAGACCTATTTATTTATTTAAAAAAAAGGGTGCGTGTACTTATGTACGCGCGTAAGAAGTTATACTTCTTTGGCATTATTAAAATAGTTTTTGATTGCATGCAACTAATTAATTACAATTAAATAATCAAAGACTGGAAAAGGAGTCATTATAGTCAATAAAGTTCAGTTTACATTTGAAAAAGTAAATAAATAAATATTTATTATTATTCTCTTACATTAAGTGTAACATAAATTCTATTATTATTCGAATGTTGTTTTTAAATTATGTCCAATGCCGTAGCATCTTCCGTGGGCTACTTCATTCTGTTAATTGTGTGTCACGGTGCGCGCGCATCGTAAAATTTCACTCTCATCAATTCTTCATAACGCGCCTAAAGAAGTATAACTTCAAAAAAATTGTCAAACGATCAGACATGTTACGCCAGCCATAAAAGGCTACATGAAAGATGCAAAGCGTGTTTTGTATCGTAACAGCTTTATATGTAGTCGCTGTATAATTTAATGGGTCGGAACGAAGTAGTTTCAGCTTGATGGATTACTATTACAAAATTTAAATTTTTGTTAAGTGATACAGACTTACATGTTTGTTCTTTGAATAGTGATCCTTGAATTATTGCTAAATTATAATTGGGGTAGTAGTTCGCAAAGTTTTCTATGACAACAATTTTCATTTTATGAATCAAGTGCTATTTTATTATGTATGTATGGATACATCCTTAGTGCGGCACGTGTAGGTATATTATATGCGTATCGATATCGGATATTGAAGCAGAATACGTAATCCTCTACCTAGTTTACCTTGATATACGTATGTCTACAATTGAGCCTTTTTAAGGTACCATTTGTCCTTCAAAAAGAGAGCATACCAATTCTTTAAAGACCGGCAACGCATTCGTGTCCCTTCTGGTACTGCCCATAGGCCTCACTTCATTAGTTGAGCCGAGGCAAATAAAAAAAATAAGAGTTATTTTTGTCTAAACACACGCCATATTATTAGCTAATATTATATTATTAGCCATATTATTAGTTAGAGGATTTTTTTTAATGTTACAGGACGGTAAACAGGCAGGCAAACGGGCAGGAGGCTCACCTGATGTTAAGTGACCGCCGCCCATGGACGCTCGCACTGCTAAAAGGCTCGCTCGAGCTGCCTGCCTATTAAGGATTGGTACGATTTGTTTTCATTATAAAATAAAATAATGTGATGGTGTACTGAAACTGTTTATATTAATATTCTTAAACAATGAGTTCAAATTGGTAGCAAATGTACTATATCTATTCGGCTATGTCCATACACGTGTTCTGTTCTATAAAAGCTGTAGATGTATGGGTTTGTGTGCCGCTTTCCAAGAGCAATTTACATTACTCGTGTTTTAATATGTGTTATAATACGTATGCCTGAATTTGTCTCAAGTATTGTGTATTGTCATAACTGTCAAACATCAGTTTTTAAGTTTGTTTTATAGAGATTTTTTAATTAACTTGAAGGATTCGTATTTTAAATATTTTTCTTATTAATGCTATATTTGCCTGTAAGGGACCGTTCTAGTATTACGTAAGCACTATAGGTGTTCCTTTATTTAGCATTACGTCAACAGTGACTATTTACTTTTTTACACAAATTACCCACACATTGTATATGCGTGAACACGAAATGCATTTTCGAGGATTCCTACAGAAAATTAATACGTTTATGTACTATTGTTTTTTAGGCTTTGCTTACTTTAGCTGACAAGGGGGGGAGATAAATTGCAGTAATTCTGCTTGCGTAATACTTGAACGGCCCCTTAGTGCCTTATTGACAACATTATTTTCTTAAAAATTACCAATGTATGAGTGTGACCAGCTTTTATTAATGAAATAAAAATATGTTATTTTGGGTGGTTACATAACTTTTATATAATATAATATTAATCAATTATATATACATCTTTTATATCAAGATTTTTTAAAATATTTGTCACAAATTTTACTTTTATACTGACAGAACAACATTTTCCAAAGCAAAGTGGTTCTTAAACGAGAACTTAAGCTGTGATCAAAAGGCTTTACACTTCAGAGATCTAACCTACATTTACTACGCAGTTATTAATACCTATTTATATTTATAACCGTATATAAGTTAGTTCTTGATGCATTTTTATAAAAATACAAAAGTGAAGACTGTCTTAGAACAATTCTAATACATAAATAATAATTACATTTTGTTATTTTATTTATTTTTATTTTTACATTTAAGGAACAGAAACAGAAAACAGATTGGTGAAATACATATAGTTATTACACACTAAGCAACATTTGTAAACCTGAATTTCCAATTATATCTGTACACAGCATTTTAGTGGAATCTTCAGTGCTGGTTTACCAAATATTAACAATTAAATACAGTATATAATATGTACATATATTAAACTTAATGACAAAAAAAAATAGAAAAATTTAATGACAAAAAAGAAAATTAAGTTATTCTAGTTGCAAGTCTGCACCGCGAATAATCTTTCTAAATTCATAACTACTATTGTGAAAAATATCAACATGAGAACACACAGAATTATAATACTTGCACATTCTAGCGAGCGGACCATTCTGGGATACATTGTTGTTACTTGTATCATAAATAGTTGCGGCTCACGCACAGAACGCGTCGGTACCTTGATGTCAAGTTCATCCAAAAGATAGCTGTCAAGTGTTATAATTATAAGTTATAAATCTAATTTGTTACAAATTACAATGTGTATTATATTATTTACTTTTATTGCAAAAGTTTTGGCCAGGTTTTCTAAAATCTAAATAATCGCAACTTTGATCGCATAAAATAGAAAAAAAAACGAATTCTTTTAATCACAATGAAATATTTTCTGTTATCTATGACACTAAGGAGTAGCTTTCTACTGGATTTATCAAATCGGTTCAGTCTACAAAATTTACCTAATTTATTTATTTATAGCTAATACAACCATACTAATATTATAAAGAGGAAAGATTTGTATGTAAGTATGTTTGTAACGAATTGGCTCAAAAAGTACTGGACCGACACAAAAAATTCTTTCACCATTTGAATGGTACTTTATTACTGATTAATATAGGCTATATTTTAATTGCAAGTAAACAATAAGGATGACATACATAAAATAATATAGGTACATAGGAAAAAATTACAATAATGTTACGCAAGGTGTAAAGAATGCCTATAAAATATCTTTCATCGCATGCGCTGCGAAAACGATTGATGATAGAACAAAAAAAATGTTCCACAATATTAAAGAACATATCTACAAAAAATGTTTAAAAAAAAAATGTCCACCCGTCCGAAGCCGGGACCGGCCGCTAGTATATACAAAACAAACATTTACGAACGTTTACGTTCAAACAAAGTGAAAAATCAATAAAAATTATTAAATACATTTAACTAAGTAATACCTAATTCGGGTGTGTTGTTTGATGGTGCGTTTGTACGTGAGGGTGTGTTTGTGAGGTGTGCTCATGATGCAGGTTATTTAGCGATATGGATATTTTTAATGTGTAATTTATTTATTTATTTCGTAATCCTACAGCTAACAGAAATTATATATAATAACAAACAGTTACACTGAAAATATAGCCAGAGATGGAATACATAATACATTTTACTACAAAAAGGTTCAAAAATTTACAAAATCAAACAACCAAAAAAACAAAAAAAACTAATACTGTAATACTGAGACATCCAAAAAGAGCAGAAGAGATCAGATCAGCGACCAAAGTAGAAGACATTATAACGAAAATAAGGCAATTGAATGACGCTGGACTGGGCACATGACGAGGGATAGCAGGTTGAGATGGACAAAAATAGAGAGAATGGCAACCACGCGATGGAAAAAGGAAACGAGGAAGACAGAGCAAGAGATGGGCAGACGATATAAAGATAATAGGAGGCACAACTTGGACAAGAAGAGCTAATATCAGAAAAGAATGGAAACAGCTGGAAGAGGCCTATGTGTCACAGGACACGCTGACTACCAAAAACGGGTCAAGTGATGTATTAGATTAAGTTTTATTTATGTATTAGAATTAAGTTTTTTATGTAACTTAAATAATTGTTATTATATTGTACTGGGTGTCAGCAATAAAGGCTTAATAATAATAATAATAATATTCTTAATAGTATGTACATACATACCGTATATTAAATACACATGTGTTTAATATGTCTGAGGAACGAAATTGTATCGATTACCTCGGAGAACATAGATTTTGATATAAATAATACAAGTTTTGTGATTTATTTACAAAGTTTATTAAAATAAAGGGGATTACGTATTTCATTTACACCTTACGTCACGAACTGGGTTTAGTTTAATCTCCCACAAATCGCCCGATTTCTTTTAGCTTTCCTTCTTACGTTTGAAAAGCGCCGAGAATTTTCCATTTTCGTACGTCGGCATAAATGGTATATATGTGGTCCAATTCCATCTGAAAGAAATAAATTATTGATCCAAAGGTTTATACGACATTTGTCTGAATATCAACAAAAATTGCGTTATGAATAACACATTTTCGAGCTGTTGCAGCTTTTGAATGGATTCATCGAATTTCATTTAAAAATATTTAGTTTGAAAATAAGAAATCTAGTAATTCTATATGTGTTTAGCCAATATTTATCACATATTATTTGTTTTGAATGAACCTTTAGGCTATTTTGTTGAATGTAGATATTACCTTATTAATAATGAGTTTTTTTACATTGTTTTACTTAAGAATTTCTGATAACTTTGTATACGTAATTAAGAGACAAAGAAAGCTTTAGTTAAAGGTCTTTGATTCATTTAATAAATAAGTAAAACTTTACGCAACGACTGAGCTGAAGCTTTTGTTAGCTTCAAGGGGTTCTTAAACATGTGACTTGTGGCCTTCCTTTCCTTTATTTTAATGTTCCCTTTTAAAACGAAAGAAAAGATCGTAAAATACAATGCGCACGTGATTGGTCAAAGGCTTCTGTTGTTTTATGACGCCCTGGTAAAATGGATAACGTTATTGAGCTTATTTCGAATCTTTAAATTCCAAAATTTAATTAAAATTGATATAGTTTAACAGTAGATTTTATTTAGATAAGATTAACAATAAGATTTTACTGACATTTTAAGGGTCTGTTTCACAATGTATAGATAAAGTACTAAATAGCTATGCAACACATAAATTATTTGGAAGATAAATTGTGCTATTTGACATTCATCGAACTCATAACTTATGATGGACTTAATGTGACGAATAGCGCTATCTGACAGTCGTGAAACGCAACAATAGTGTTTATCCTACCAATAAGTAATAAATAGCTAATTTGGAACTTATCCGTATATTGTGAAACAGACCCTTAGTGACTTATCTAAACTATCAAATAAAACTACAAAGAACACACAGATAATTACTTTTCTCAACTCTATAGAAATAACTTAGTTTTTTGTACTACGGATTCATTAACACAGAGGAAAGTTCTGATAGATTCATCATTTTATGATGAACACATCCATTATGTCTTGAAATGCATTTACCGTTAACATTTTATGAACGACTCAGAATAACTGTAGGATTATGTTCGTGAATGAATGGAGTCTTACCTTCGAATGTAGCTCATGCCAACAGGGAAATCATATGTGTCAGGTCCACTGGAACCAGCCGCTTCTAGAGACATTTCTTTCGCCCATTTATCAAGACCACGTTCTTCACGAGTACCTGATATAATAATATTGTTAATTAGCAACGATAGAAACCCCGCTTAGATGTTGGTATCAATATATTTTTTCTTAGATATAAAAACCAACAAACAATTTCATATTTGCACATTTTTAAATAGCCAACAAAAAATTTCTTATTGTAATAAAAACTCAAATTAGTCATAGTTTTCGTATTTTTACTGATTGATTGAATAAGTCCAAAAGGCCATAAAACGAATGATTAATAATCTTATTTTAATGGCCCAAAACATTGAATTATACAGTATCTTGCTAAAATTACTAGCTTTTGTATAAAATAAAACAAGCAAAGTCTCGCGCAAAAATATTATCTACGAGAATGAAATCTATTTATTGATGAGCAGAAGTTGATTTGTTGAAGTTATAAATTTAAATACATCATCGTCTATAATAAAGTTAAAAAAACAATACTACAGCTTAGTTGTGTACGTTCGAATCCTGATGGTCCAATAGATTTTTTAAATTTAAATTAACACTTGTGTTTACAGTATAGGGAATCATTGAGAGAAACTGAAATGTCGTATACGCAAAAAATCAAGGTATGTGTGACGTAAAGTAAGGCTGATCACCTACTTTGCTATAACTATAATAGAAACGTGCAGTTTGAGCATAATATAGGTATACAGCCATTGGATGATTGTCACTATAGCAAAAACTTTTTCCAAATTAAAAGTACTGAAAATGTTATTTAAACGCTTGTTAAATAAAACGTGAGAGTAATTTTATTATCTTTAACAAAAAAATCTAAAACAATAGGTTACTTCTGTGACTTCAGGAATACCTTGAAATTATTTTGTTTGTGAATTATTGCAAAATTTACGAATGTGGGTTCTGTACATTTTTTATACAATTTTTTTTTTAATAAAGTTCATCGCTGCCTACATCTTAAAATATGAAGTATGTGAACCGCAATGCTCTATTTTGATGTTTTTTATCCTTCAGAAATCGAAAAAATTACGGATATAAACGAGAATTTATTTACAACATTATTAATTTATTACATTATTTACATAAATCGGCATTTCAAGTGCTTTTTTCAAATTGTTGACCCTCATATCAAATAATTCTTAAAAACTAATTAGTCATCACGTTGTTTCATTATATCTCTTTTCATGACAGCTTTAACACAATTTGACCGAAAGGGAAGAATGCATAAAAATTGCACTACCTCTTAGCATTGGCCTCAGACAAAGATACCTATTTTCTTTATTATTTTTGTTTATAACATGCAAGTAAATAGTGCCTTCTGTAACACTCTCTATATAAATTGGGGTAAATGTCTTGTCTCATGTTTTCGTTCAACATACGATCAATTATTGTTTATACACACATGAATAGTAAAATAAACATCAGGATATAGAGTATATACATAAAGAATGCGTGACGCGCTTTTCTTCTTTTACAATTTTTTTTTCTTAATATGGTCCGCGCGCGTATTATTTTTTGACAGCCAGTAACAATTTCATACAATGTCCGTTAAATTTCTTCTAATCTCTCTGGTAAATTGAATCCCTTGGAATTAGAAGTTATTTTCGTCCATTTATTGAAAAGCTAGGCTCTTTCTGGATAAATGGTTAATCTATACGCATCTTACCCGGGATCAAATTATCCAAAAAACATCCAACTACTCCTCCGACCAATATTGATGTGGACAGCAACACTTGAAGAACAGCATCCAATGCTTCTACTCCCGTATTGATAACACCACTGTGAGCTGACATCCACCTGGTCAGCACCAGCGGGAAGAATAGGCTGAAACCGATGATGTATAGGTTCCGGGAACTATTTAGGTTCACGTACTGAAGAGCTGATAATCCTGGTAATGATTTCAAAGATTAAAATGTCGTTTTATATAAAAAAATATCGCTTGTACATTTCGTTATGAAATTTCCATAATTTTATTTAATAAAATTTCGTATAACGCGATAATGACGCATGAATGATTCTATTCAAACTGAATTGAAAAGCCAAGATTTATCTCTTCATCGTCTAAAATTAGAGACTTTTACCTTCTAAAACTGTTTTTAAAAATCGAGATAAAATGCCAACCAATTCCCAGCTTTCTACGAGCCAAGTAAAACATTTTAAATACAAAATAACTAATTAATCTTCCTGTTAAGGAAACGTACAAAAAAATTACTTTTGATGGGAACTTCATCATTATTTATCAAAAACCTATATTTACCGAAAGCAGAGATCATTCCAAACATAACGCAGAAGAGACCTCCCACTATCGGCTGGGGTATGATGATGAAGACGGCACCCAATTTCCCGATCACACCCTGAAGGATCATCAGACCAGCTGCCCATTGCACTACGCGACGAGATCCAACCTGCAAAAGAAAATAGTACCTCCATTTAATAATCATTACATATATACATAATTTATAAACATTATCGATGAATGCGATTAAATCCCACTAAAGTATTTCCGAACCAATTCCACTTAGGGTCCTTCAAGAAAAAAGCGTACTAAGTCTTAAAAGGCCGTCAACGCATTCACAAGCCCTGGCATTAAGAGTGTTCAAGAGCGGCAGTATCACTTTACATCAGGTGAGCGAGAAAAAAAATACGTGTAACTGTGAGGCACTTTTTCACATTAAAATACTGATCAATAAAGGCAATGATCAAACACTTTATTTTTATTTAACAACGAAATTAAATAAAAATAAAAAGGTATAAAGATAATTGTAATAATAAGACGGTCATATTCCCATTTCCCGCAGCACTCCCAAGCGTCACTTCTCAAATGTAAAATAAAAATTGCTTACCTTTGTTACGCCAATAGCACCCACGTTTTCTCCGAATGTGTTCGTTCCGTTACCAGAACCCCATAAGCCAGCAAGGACGGTTCCTAAGCCTTCTGTACCCAAGCCACGGTTGATAGCATGCAAGGGCGGGGGAGGTGCAGCTGAAATAAGTATTAGATAAAAATCATTTAATTCTACCTCCGTATAACCTGGTCATTTTTATAAAGGATCAATACAAAATCCAACATGCGTCTGATGATTTTAATATGTATATTTTTAATATAACCGATAGGGTTAGACTCGGCGCGGTAATTAAATGGGACTTCTGAAAACCAGCTCAGGATTATTTATATCAAGTCACTCTCAACTGGACGAATTACTATTGGTCCTAGTAATAAGCCTAGTAAGTACTTTTTTATATTGATTTTATATATTTGTTTTAAAACTTCTAGCAAAAATGGTTGTGAATTAACATATTGTCCTTGTACATAATTAAAGTTACCGATACTCTCTGTATCTGAAAGAATATTTAGACAAAAAAAAAAAAGTATTTAATTTTTTAACGCATTTTGAAGTTTAAAACTGTTATTTAAGTTTCTTTTGAATTATATTTTATTTATTTAAAAATAGTTTAAGGCTAGACAGTCTGAGATGAAAGCCAATTTAATATGGTCACTCACGTGCATACACATTACACGCCCATACATATCACTCCCACTCAAATTTTTAAAAATTCAGTCACTATTTATTTGGTTATATTTTTACTCTTTTATTGTAACTCGGAACAGTCTCGTCACTCACACAGGATTGTCCTGTTGTATATAGTGTCCTATGTAACGGAATAAGGTTTAAGTACTAATTATTGTATTCTAATACGTAAAGTATTAAGTAAGGAAATTAATTCTAATATAAAATTTTTAACAAAACAACAAACACGAAACATTAACTTAAGACGTGCTAGTTAGGTAACCTCCCTCCCTCCTAGAACTAACTATGGAAAAAGAAATTTGGAGTTTGAGGGTGTTAATTAACAATTAAAATAAGTTACCATCAGTTATAAAAGGAGAACAAAGTTATGCCCGGTTTAAAAAGCTTCTAAAAACTCACACAATTAATACATAAAAATAAGTGATTAAAATATAATATGTATATTATATATTGACAAAAATAAAATAGCACACCCTTGTTAAGTACATCTACATAAAATTAAGTATACACCTCTAAATTTAAATGATACATTAGTAATTAAATTAAACAAAAGCAAATAAAAAATAATACTTAAAATGTTTTATAAACCATGTATATACCCAAAATATATAAATAGAACAATAAACTAAAAGTAAAATAGTGTTATGAAAAATGCCACATCTAGTATTGTTTTGCTTGGTTGACTGATCAAGTTTATTATGTATACCCACATTTTTGTTGATGTTGTGTTTTGTTATTTAATATCACATCTGTGCGCTCTAATTTCTAATTTTTAATCTTAGTTTTAAATATTGTTTCTCAGTAAGTGAATAATGTATGCAATTCTTATGAGAAATAAAGTTATTCTTACACAAAAAAAAATATTAGTCTGTGTCCATACTACGTCGTCAAGTAGTGGGTCCGCGAAAAAAGGGTTTTTAAAAACTTAAAGTTAAAATGAATACAACCGGTCCGATTTGAGGTCCGTTTAATACTAAATATTACAAGTATTCTATTATATTTATATCCTATTCTTAAAGGCCTACGTGACCGTTGTGCTGACACATTGTTCTCACGCTCTACAAGGAAACGTTACTTAGTAAGAACTAAGAGTGGTTCGTAAATCATGTAAGAGTGGTTCGTAAATCATGTAACAGCATTTCGGCTATTGAAATATAAAGGATCTTTGTACTACTATGTTGCAATGGTTTTTTGTTTATATAAAATATAATTATCGTATGGTGGTGACACACGGGATTATATAACTCCTCCCTCCTTAAGAGCGAAATTATCAGGGATTGCACATGCAAATTCTGATTATTTCGCCACTGCAACATATTAATAATCTCATTTTTTATAAAAAACACAACAATTAGCAAAATACAATAAAAGAGTGCCTAAACTAATGCTTTTCACTTTCACTGAATTGCCCATTTCACTATCACTATCTCTGTTAAGTTGTTACAGCATGTAAGACATGTGTTGCCGGTCACTGAGCTCCATTCCTTGTAAGTTTACTGGATTCTGATTTTCCTTAGAGTTCACTGTTGACTGTAACTCCAGCAGCTTAATGGATGGGATACGTTCTGATGACATATTTTCTGTATATGAACGCTGATGATGTAATTGGATGTCATTGATGTTGAGATCGCAGGGTTAATCTATAGTAATGATATATTATGTTCCCTTTATAGAGTTTCGGCTTATCTCATTTTTGCAATTATTTTGAATAATGATTTGATTACTATTATTGTACCTTTACCTCTTCTATAATTACTGTATTCTGGTCACAGTTGGATGGGTTTTCCTTGAAGGTCATCAGCTCCTCAATGCATGTCGTTTCAGGATACGGTGCCCCTGTTTTCTTGTGTGCAGAGATAATAAATTTTCCTCAGAGACTTGTTTGCAAGGCTGTATAAGCGGTAAGTATGTTACACCTTTCACCAGGATATAGGGATATTTAGGAATGATTATTAAGGTTAGGTTTTTAGGGTCATGAAAGATAGGTAAGGGATACATTTTATTATAACTATAAGTTGAATTGGTTATTAAAGCTACCTCTAATACAAAAGTTATTTTCCTGTCTATCATGTATGATTTAACATTAATCGTATCTTCTAATTTAACTAAATTATCCCAAGTGGGTGGATACATAAGATTTTCTGACTGTGATATATAAATTAAAATCTGTAATAAATGTGTAAAACATTGGTTGTGGTGAAAGCCAAAGCAATTTCTAATTCGCTTATTTTTTATATAAAGCGTTCTAAAATTACTTACAAAAAGATTATATAAACTTAAAACATATGTAGAGTATACTGCATTATTTTCTTTAGTACTTATGTCTTTTAACATTTTTTTCTACACGTTTTAGTCTTTCGTCCATAATTTTTGAGTTATGTATTGTGTAATATTTCTGATGAATTAATGAGTCCATCTAACATTTTGGAAACAACTGTTAAACGCTTGTTTGTTGAAATGTTGTTGATTACCTAATTGATTAATTTACTGTTCATATCGTTGAGCATCTTCCTGATCTAAGTTTCCAGTTATCATTTTAATAATAGAGCCTAGAGGGTTCAATATTCCTCTTCGTACTCGGTGTGAAGGGATTATTTGCCTAATCTTTTCAGTAGTTATTCTTTGCAAATACTCTACTTGTTCCCTAATTCCTAAAAATTCTTTAAACTAAGGCTTATCATCACTTACTATCTTACTAAAATTACTATATTTCCTATTGTTATATTCTAATTCCATTAGTAGGCCATTCAAATCTAATACCTTAAAAATAAGCCAGTTATCCTGTTGGATGAAGGCTGTTCCCTGTCTTACGGATCCCTGAATTGTTTTCAACCTTTTGAAGTTGAAGGCCCAAGCTGGGGCTCGTGAGTGTCATCGTGATCACTAAGCACCACCTTTGGAGGTCGTTTTATGTTTTTAATTGGTACCTTTTTGTGTTTACCTCTAATTTTAATAGGGATGGTGTTTCTTTCAGGTTTTCCTGTAACTATGGCCTTTTCAAAACAAGGTTTGTACTTACTTCTACGAGTGTTTATTAATTTTGTGAAAATTGTTTTCCCTTCTGGTAACGGGACGTCGGATTCGCCACCGCGTTTTTCTCTAGAGTTTTCCTTAAACGTTAACATTTTATCAGATATGATTTTGTATAAAACTTTTATTCTTTTGGCGTGATCTTTAATTAATTTTTGCAAGTATCGTTTCTCGAAGTCTATATTGAATGCGTTTTCAGAATCTACATGGCCAAACACTACTTCAAACGGTGTTAAAGTTGTTACAGTATGAATCGCATTATTATATGCCATGATGAGTGATATAATAGATGCGGCGTCGGTACATTGTTGTTCGTATTTTGTCAGTCTGTAAATTTCAATTAAGGTGGAATGAAAACGTTTAACTATTCCCATTGAATTAGGGTTCCTAGGTGTGTCGATATGTATTTGGATTTTATAGAGTGACATCATTTCTTTCAATAGATCGTTGTTGAATTCAGTACCAGAGTCGCAGCTTATTTTCTTAGGTATGCCGTAAAATGAAAAGTATTTTATTAGTGCGCGGATAACGTCAGGTGTGCCTTTGATAGTAATTTCAATTGCCTGTCTTAGTTTGCTAAAAGCGTAAGCTAAGGTGAGGTATGTTTTTCCTTCGGTACTAAATATATCTATAAATAATTCCTGGAATGGGGCATGTTGCTTTTGAGTTAACTGTAAATATGGTTTCAAAGGCTTTCGGTCATATTTCATATGTTTACAGGCTTCACAAGAATTAATTACTGCTGATATAGTTTCTTTCATGTTATTCCAAAAGAAGTGTCGCCTGATGCGAGTAAAAGTTTCTTGAATACCTCTGTGACAGGTTTTTCCGAGATGAAATTTCAGAATAACGGCGTTCTGTTCATTTTCATCGTCAATAAAAACGATTCTTTCCGTACACTCATAAAATTGAATTGATACACCTTTAAAAAGCCTAATTACCATGTTGCTGAATTGTTTGCGATGTTCCGTATTTCCGAAATATATAAAATATTTCTTTTTGGGTTTTATGTATTCTTTCAGGAATTGTTTGATTAAATAATTACACAATTACTCAATAATTATAGCTCACAGAATTTGATGTGAATCTAAACTTATACTTACTTTAGGGGTTGCAGAATTTCATGCACTAACCTACTTACTTATATGTTTCTTTAATTTACTTATTACAATTTACGTTTATAGGAATTTAACTCTAACAAAGTCTTAAAACTATCGTTAAGATGAGAGATGTCGATCTCAAAATAACAAAAGAAAAGTGGAGAGGGCTGGATTTGAAAGGTGAAAAGGTGACTTACCAGTACATCGCTGCCTCAACACTCGCACAAAAATACCCTTAACGCTTTTGGATTTGCGTTCTTGACAAATTTATTTGTTCTTTTGAATAGCCGTTTTTAGCAATCGCGACGTAGTTTCCCCTTTTA